TCTAAGAAGAGAGATCTAGAAACCTTGATTGATCAAGAGGCTGAAGTGCGCAAGTTTCACACATTGAAATGTTGCTGCGCCTTATCTTTCCATACAGACAAATCTTTATCATCAATCAGAGGATTACAGCAAATGCCACCAATACATTACTGATCGATCGATTAAGCGATGGCTGTCAATAGCACTGGAGCGGTATTACGTTTGACTGACACCATGCAGGCTGTTTGGTTTGTAATTTTTGGCATCGAATCGTTCCTAATCATTGCATGTAATATTATAGCAATTACCATTTTCACAAAGAAAAGGTTTCGAGTCTCAAAGTCTTGCTATTTGATAATCAATCTAACGGTCGCCGATGTTCTTGTAGGAGTTTCTGCATTCATTACTTCGATGGAGATTTGGCACGCAAAAGATACCATCTTCGCCGTTTGTTCCGGACTATTTCTGAATGAATTGTCGCTGAATTTCTCGTTATTTACCCTTCTAGCTTCTTTGACATCACTGGCGATGATGGCTGTTGAAAGGGCGTTGGCTATTTTGGTCCCGTTTCGGTTTCGTCGAGTAAGCGGAAAGCATTACTTTTGTATAATATCTGTATCATGGTGTGTGTCTTTGGCATTATTTCTTCGGCCTTTTTCGTGTTCCAGCGAAATTATTATCAAACATGTTTTAAATTTATACTTTATGGTTTTCGTGATTGCATCAATTGCTGTAATCATTATTTCGTATAGTGCAATTGCCATCAAGAGAGTTTCTGGCTCTGAAATAAACTCYAGCATTTCCATGAGAAACAATTTGCGGCTATCCCGCACTTTGATGCTGACAACTTTGGTGGCCCTTATTACCTGGGTACCATCCTACATGATTTTAAGCGTATCCGGAGATGGTAATGTTCCCTATAACACAGGATTGGCAATGGCAATGTTGATATACAGCAACTCTCTTGCTAATCTTTTGGTATATACTGTGCGCATGCCCCAATTTYGTTTAGAATTAAAAAAGATGGTTGGTTGCGACAAAAAGATAACTCCTATTATAGTCAGCCAAACAAGCAAAAGTCAGTGCAAATCAACGACAGTAAAATAAAATAATGAAGAACCATTGTATGTATAAATCTTTTCCCTGGTTCTCAAAACACGTTCAATTACAATGTACAGTCAKAGTCTTGATGGTAACTCT